TGGAGGCGCTGCTGGAATTCCTGGATGAGGATGAGGATGGTGAGTCGAGGGGGGGGGGTCTTGCTTTTGGGCGTCACTGCCCCCCTAGACTGGGCTGGGGGTGCCCGTGGGGTGGGATTTGGGGGTTCCCTCGGGACTTCTCTCCCCACAGGGTATCGTGACAGGAGCCTGGCCCTGAGCTCCCTGCAGAGCTTCAAGGACATGGGGGTAAGCACAGCCACCCCCCAGCCCCCCAACATCCTGCTGCCCCCCCTGACCTCCCTGTGCCCCCCCCAGGTGCTGGAGGAGCTGCAGACCCCCACTGGACCCCTCCTCCAGCTCTCCCAGCCTTTCCAGTCTGCTTCCAACCGGGAGAAGTTGAGAGCCTTCATTCACCAGTTCACCCAGTTGTAACCCCCCACACCAGAGTCATAAATGGGCCCAGGGACCTGATGCCTCGTGGATTTATTGATCCGGGGGGGTGGGAGGTTCTGTCTCTCCTTCCCTCACCTGGGATGGAAAATTCCATCATTTCTGGTGGTGGTGCCCAAGACAGCTCCAACCAGCACATTTCCCCCCAGCCCTTCTCTGCTCACTAACAGCAGGTCCAGTTTTCAGTAAAAACACTGGGATAAATCAAACTCTCTAACACTATTTTTTTAGTATTAGAAAACAGGCATTAGTTTAGTCACAGTGTTGGGGTGCATGGGGATAGTTCCACTCAACATGCCCACCCACTTTCAAAACTTTTTATTATTTATACATTTTTAGCAAAGAAATTCATGTTCATTGGTTGTGTTAATTAAGTAGTATTCTATATTGGTTATTAATTTCTTACTTCTTATGCTAATTAGTCCACATTTTCAGTCTTTTTATTATCTTTTTCTCAGATAGGAGCGTTTCAGTAGACTGATTCTGAGTTCTCTTTGTTAGTGGATTTATTGATCCCACAGGGGTGGGATCTGGGGGGTCTCTCAACCGTCAGACCACGCGGTTGCAGATGGTGCCCAGCTCCTCGATCTCACACTGCACCTCGTCCCCGGGCTGCGAAGGGGCACGTGGTGGCATCTGTCCCTCGTGGGGTCCACTGTGTCCTCACTTGCCCCCCAGCCCCATCCAAGCCCCTCTTTTCCCTCACCTTAAGGAAGACAGGGGGTTTCCGAAAGAACCCCACTCCGGCAGGAGTCCCCGTCAGCAGGATGTCCCCAGGGACCAGTGTCACGAACCTGGGGGCACACAGGGGGTCAGCTGTGACCCCCTGGGCTCTGGGGGTCCCTGGCTCCCCATTCCTACCGGGACACCCAGGCGATGAGGGCGGGCACCCCGAAGATGAGGTGGTGGGTGCTGCTGTCCTGCATCGGGCGCCCGTTGACGCTGCAGCGGATCCACAGGTTGTGGGGGTCTGTGGGAGGGGACACAGGGGGACACGGGGACAGTGCCACCGTGAGCCCCACCTGGGGGAAAACACGGGGGGTTCGGGCAAATGGGGGGGGTGACACCACCAGTGTCAGCTGGGAAAGAGTCCCTGTCCCATCCCATTCCTTTTCTCATCCCATTTGTGTCTCGTCCCCATCCTGTTCCCATCCCATCAGTGTCCTGTCCTTGTCATGTCTCCATCTCCATTCCTCTCTGTGTTCCGACTGTCCCCACCCATCCCTATGTCTGTCCTGTCCTCATCCTGTTCCACTTCTGGTCCTGTCCCCATTCCATTCCTGTCCAGATCGCATCTATGTCCTGTCTCCATCCTTGTCCCCATCCCATTGCTGTCCTGTTCTTGTCCAGTCCCCATCACTGTCCCTATCCTGGCCCATCCTGTCCCCATCCCTGTCTCTACTGTTCCCAGTCCTCCCCCGTCCCATATCCATTGCTGTTCTGTCCCCATCCCATCCCTGTCCCATCCCCATCCGCGTCCCCACCTTTCACCGCCTCCCTGGTGACAAGGGCAGGCCCCAGGGGACAGAAGGTGTCAAAGGTTTTCCCCAGCAGCCACTGCCGCCCGTTGCGCAGCTGCCAGTCCCGGGCGCTCACGTCGTTGGCCACCATGAACCCCACCACGTGCTCCAGGGCTGCCGACTCCTGGGGGGCAGTGGGACCCCCTTACAGGGGACACACACACAGGGACCCCCCAGACGAGGTGTGGGTGGGGCAGGGGGTACCTCGATGTGCCGCCCCCTCTTCCCAATGACAGCGGCCAGTTCCACCTCCCAGTCCACCTCCTGCGGGGACAACACAGAGGGTTGGGGGTCCCGACCCCCAGGGGGGCTGCGGGGGCGGGTCCCGGGGTACCCACGGTGCTATCCTGGGGGAGCACGATGTCATCGAAGGGCCCGGTGATGGCGCTGGGGAACTTGCTGAAGATGATGGGCTCCTTGGGCACCCTGGCACCCTGCTCCTCGCAGTGGTCGCGGTAGTTGAGCCCCACACAGATCAGCTTCTCGGGGTCTCCCACGGGCGCCAGGAGCCGCGTGGCCCCGCGAGCCACCCGGTGCTGCCCCGACTCCAGGGCTCTGCGGGGACACACAGACCTCTGGGAGTCACCCATGTTTTGGGGCATCCACCTTTGGGGACACCTGTCCTTCGGCTCAGCCACGTTTGGGGGTCACCTACCCCTGGAAGGTCACCCACAGTTCTGGGGCTCCAGAATCTGAGGGGACCTACTTCTGGGGGTCATTCAAAGGGTCACTCAGATTTGAGGGACCCTTTTTTTGGGCTCACCCACCTTTTGAGGGGACCCTATTTGAGAGGTCACCCACATTTTGGAGCACCCACCTCTGAGGGCACCTACCTTTGGGGGGAACCCACTGTGTGGGAGTCACACACTTCTGGGGGTCAGCCAAAGGGTCACCCAGATTTTGGTGGACCCTCCTTTGGGGATCACCCACCCTTGGGGACACACGTTTTTGGGAGTCACTCTCCTTTAAGGGGACCCTTCTCGGGTCACCCACCACTGGAGAGATCCACCCCTGGGGGGACCCAGGTTTTGAAGCACCAACCTTCAGGGATCCCCCACCTTTGGAGGACCCATCTTTGGGGTACCCACCTCTGGGCGAGCTCCAGCCCGCGCGGGCCGAGCTCCAGGAACTCCCGCATGGACAGGGGCAGCGCCGGCTCGGCCGCGCTCAGATCCACCAGGTCCCCCCCGGGCGCCTCCTCCAGCCCGAGCCTGGGCCCCCCGCCCGCGGCCCCCCGGAACCGCACGAGCCGCAGAGCCCCGCGCATCCCCTGCGGAACCGGGATCGGCACCGCACCGGGGGGACCCGGGGGCTGAGAACCCCCCTCGGCCCGGGATGGATCCTGGCCAACCGGGGGGGTCCCCTCCCCCCGATCCCACGCAGTTCTGACCCCCAGAATCCCCCCGATTCCAGGGCAGCCCCTCCTGGTCCCGCCCTGCTCCGATCCCTGAGGGTATCCCCCGCTCAGCCTGATCCCAGGGTCCCCCGACTCTGCACACCCCCAGACTGGGGGAATCCGCCCGATCCCAGGTAAATCCCCGGCATCCACCCCCCCAGTTCCGCCCAGCCCCGATCCCAGGGGACTTCCCCCTTATCCCACGTAGCCCCGACCGCGGGAACCCCCCCGATGCCAGAGATTCCTCCCTTAGCCCCGATCCCAGGGATCCCTCCCCCGCAATCCCACACAATTCCGATCCCGGAGATTCCCCCGATGTCGTGGATTTCCCGTCCCCGTTCCCAGGATTCCCCCCATTCCCAGGGATCCTTCCCGTCCCCAATGATCCCCCCGTCCCCAATGATCCCCCCGTTCCCAGGGATCCTTCCCGTTCCCAGAGATCTCCCCGATCCCAGGGATCCCCCCTGTTTCCAGGTTCCCCCCCCATTCCCAGGGATCCCCCCGTTCCCAGGGATCCCCCCCGTTCCCAGGTTCCCCCCCCATTCCCAGGGCCCCCCCCCATTCCCAGGGATCCCCTCGTTCCCGGGGGTCTCACACACGTTGTTCCCGCTCCGCCAGGGGGCGCTGCAGACCCGGCCCCGCCCCCGCCTGTCTAAAGGTCGCCGCGCTGAAGACACGCCCCCTTCAGGCCGTCCAATGGGAGCGCGGAGAGGACGGGATCGCCCCCAACGAGGACCAATGAGAGGGTAGGGCGGAGGAGGCGGGGCCGGGGAGGAGGAGGGGGAGGGGCACCGGGAGCGGGACTGGGTTCGGAAATGGGACCGGGAGTGGGACCATTATAGCGACTGGGACTGGGACAGGAACGGGGACTGGGGCAGGAACTGGGACTGGGACCGGGACAGGGACTGGGATAGTGACTAGGAGAGGGACTGGGACTGGGGTGGGGACTGGAATGGGGACTGTGTCAGGGACGGAAAGAACGACAGGGGCTGGATTAGGGGCAGGGCCAGGGAGGGGCCAGGGAGAAGGACAGGGCCAGGAACTGGGATGGGGCAGGGATGGGGCAGGGATGGGGACGGGGATCGAGGCCAGGACAGGAATGGGGACAGGGATGGTGGCTGGGACTGGGGCAGGGACTGGGATTGGGCTGAGACAGGGACGGGGACGGGGACGGGGGCAGGGATACTGCACAGCTGTAGGGACACTGCACAGCTGTCACGTCGCACTTGACTCCGTTTCCCCCTAAATCGTCACTACGTGGTTTATTTATAAAACAACCCCCTCTCCACGTGCTGGGGGGGGGCTGTGGCCTCGTGGGGGTCCCCTGAGTGATGAGGGGGGAGGCGGGTCTGTGTGCTTTTGGTTGGTGTTTGGGGGCTCCATTTCATGCCTAGAGACCCCCACTCAGGAACTCCCCACGTCCCGGGGGGTCCCCCTTTCCTGGGGGGTGCCATCTCCAAGGGATCCTGTCCCTAAGGGGTCCCCACATCCCAGGGAGTCCCCTCTCAGGGGGTCCCCGTGTCCCAGGGGTCCCCACCCTGGGGGGGCCTGGTGTCAGGGTCCTGTTTGTGCCATGTCAGGTCCCTATGCCACCCAGGGCAGGGGGTCCTTGTCGAGGGGGGCTCAGCCCCCTGAAATGGGTCCATCTTGCATGTGCCAGTGCCATGCTGGGGGCTCTGGTGGCAGCGTTGTCCTTGTCTCCTCCTGTCTCCGGGGGGGGGCCCAGGGTCTAGAGCACGTTGTGGAAGATCTGCATCGAGCTCATGATGTCCTTGTCCTGGAGGGGAGAGGACAGAGACTCCCGTGTCCCCCTCCTCCCGTCCCCCTCCTGCCATCCCACTCCTGTCCCTCCCAACCTGCTTCCCTGTCTCCCCCCTCCTTTTCCCCCCAATCCTGTCCCCTCTCTCCTCTCCCCACCGCCCAACACCCCCCATCCCACACTTCCCATAACATTCTTCCCGTCCCTCCCTCCCATTCCTCTCCCAGCCCCCCTCCTCTTCCCCCCTCCTACCATTCCCTTCCTGTCTCTCTCCTCCTGTCCCCCCTCCCGGGGTCACCCCCTTGTCCCCATCCCTCCTGCCCCCCCCAGCACATCACTCTGGGACAGAACTAGGAGCAGGGGGATGTCTCAGACTCCAAGGCCTGGCAGGATGGAGGAGGAGGAGGGTGGCAGTGCCCCCCAGCCCCCCGGAGTCCCCCCACCTCCTGGCAGGTCTCCAGGAACTCCTCGAAGGTCACCACACCGTCCCCGTTCCTGTCCATCTTCTGCAAGGGAGTGGCCGGGGCTGAGTGGGGGTGGGTGGCCCCGGGAGGTGGCCCCAGGAGGGGGCAGAGGGGACAGTGTCACCTGGAAGAACAGCTCCATGTGCTGGGCCGGGGCGCTGGCCCGCAGGGTGGGCTCGGTGCAGGGCCCCATCATGGCATAGATGGACTTCATGATCTCCAGCATGTCCTGGGGGCACACAGAGCACCGGCACGTCCCTCTCTGGGTGCCCCCCGCCCCACCAGCCCCACCAGTGTCCCCCAGTGTCACCTCCTTGGTGACGTAGCCGTCCTTATTCACGTCGTAGAGGTCAAACGTCCACTTCAGCTTCTGCTGCTCCGTCCCCCGCAGCAGCACCGAGAGCCCCACGGCAAAATCCTGCCGTGGGTGTGAGCAGGGAGGGACCCCAACCCCCCTCACAGCACTCAGCCCCCCCTCCTGCTGCCACATCGATCCTGGGGCGCCCGAGGGATTTGTTCCCTATTGATCCCGTTATTTTTAACCACCACCCCTTGTGCTGCAGTGCCCCCGGCACCGCGAGGGAGAGTCCGGCCATAGCCTGGGAGGAGGAGGAGGAGAAGGAGGAGGAGGAAGAGGAGGAGGATGTGATGAATCACGCCGGGAATTCCCACCTGGAAGCACAGAGCCCCGTTGTGGTCGGCGTCGAAGGCGTCGAACAAGAGGTGGGCATAGGAACTGGCGTCTGCAGGGCGAGGGGACGGTGACTCCCCCTGCTTTGGCAGGGGCTGTTTGTCTGGATGGGCCCCCCCAGGCCCCCCCTGGCAGGTTTGGGCCCCCCCCCTGACTCACCGCCCTGGGGGAAGAACCGTGAGTAGATGAGTGTGAAGGTTTCCTCGTCCACGAGGCCGCTGGGACATTCCTGGGAAGGAGGTGGTGCCTGGTGACACTGGAGACCCCCAGGACCCTCGTATGTGGGGTCAGGGGGTGAGGGACCCCCAAGCTCACGTTCTTGAAGCCACGGTAGAGGGACTGAAGCTCCATCTTGGTGAAGTTGGTCCGGGCCAGGAGCTGCTCCAGCCCCTCGGGTTGGTGCCGGATAGTCGGGAGCTCCACGTCGGCATCGCTGTTGTCTGGAGAGACCCCCCGGACAAAGATCCCCCTTAAAAACAACCCCCCCTGCCCTAAAGCCACCCCTATCCCCTTTAAACCACCCTCACCCCCCAAAAGCCAACCCTTCTACCCCTTAAAACCACCCCCATTCTCCCTAAAACCAACCCTCCAACCCCTTAAACCACCTCCATCCCTGCTAAAACCAACCCCATCCCCCCTACAGCTACTCCCACGGCCCCAAAACCACCCCAGGGTGCCGTGGTGGACCCCAAAATTCCCTTTGGGCCCCTGGAACACCCCGGGTGTCGAATCCCGAGGGGTTTCCTGCATTCTGGAGGCACGGAACATTCCGGAGCCGCCTCTCCCCGGCCAAAGGTAATTAATAAATGATGGCTTATTAATAATTCCAGCCTGGGGAGCCCCCATGGAGCCTCCCGGCACAGAGGGAGGGGTGGGAATTTTGGGATGGGGTTGGGACCCTGGAAAACCCACAGGGTCCCCCCAGAGGGGTTGAACCCCCTAGGTCCTGCTAAGTCGGGTCTCAGGGGGGCTTGGGGGGCAGAAAGGGAGTGGGAGGGCCTGGTGTTGTGTTTTGGGGGGGTTGGGAGTCAGTGGGGGCCTGGGGGTCCCTGTGTCCCATCCCCAGGGGGCTTTGGGGGTCTCTGTGGTGGCAGAGCCCCCCAGCTCGGGGGGGGTGGTTAACAGCAGCTCAGAGCCACCCCCTCCCACCTTGGGGAGGTTTGGGGGTCCCTGTTATCTGTTAACAGGGAGCGGGGGCACCTTGGGAGGGGCAGAGGGTCTCTGGAGATGAGTTTTTTGGGGGCAGCACTGGCATAGCCCCCTGGGGAAGGTCAGAGCAGGGCTGGGCCAGGACACTGCAAGGGGGGACTGGGGGGGGGCTGGGGGGACCTGCCCTCTCCACCACCCCTCAAACCCTCAGCCTTCACCCCAAACCCTCCCGGGGGGGAACTCCAAACCCGGCTGGTTGGACCTCAGAGGGCCCGACAGGTCACTGATGGGGGGAGGGATGGATTAATTAACTCAATAATTAGGGTTCATTAAGGTTATAACTGGGGGGTACCTTCCATGGAGATGGGCTCCAGGATGCCGAACTGCTTGAGCACGGCGATGAAGAGGAGGATGACCACGGCCACGGCGCACAGCTCCATGCCCTGGATGCCCATGGCCCCCGGGGGGGGCTTGGGGGGTCCCCCCCAGACCCCGGCAGGGTGTGGGCAGTGGGTGCTGCGGGAGCACAGGGCGGGTGTTGTGCCCGCCTGTGCTCGCCTGTCCTGCCTCCTCCTCCTCCTCCTCCTCCCTTGGCACTCGCCCCCCCCCCTGCCCCCCCCCCCCGGCGCTGCTTTCCCACATTTTATTTTTAGCCCCCTCCCTCCCCCTGAAGGATTTGGGGGGGCCCAGGGGCGCTGCCCCCCCCTCCCCGCAGCACCCCGGGCTTGTGGCTGCACAGCCGGGGGGTCAAACCAGCGCCGGCCTCAAAACTGGGGGGGAAAAAGGTTGTTTTGCCCCCCCCCCACCCCTGGTGGGATCGATAGGATCGATGGGGATGAGTAAGCAGCGAGGGGGGGGGAAACTGAGGCAGGGGAGGGGGTGGGGGGCTGGCCCCGTGCCCCCAGGGCTGTCCCCACCCCTCCAGGGCTGTCCCTGCTCTGGGGACATGAGCCCTGTCCCCCCAGATCTGTCCCGGGGGTGTCCCTGTGCCCCCAGGGGTGTCACGATCCATGGTCCTGGGGAGATTGTCCCTGTCCCCCCTGGGGCTGTTCTGTCCCCAGAGCCCTGGGACAATCTGTCCCCATCCCTCAGGGGTTGTCCCTGCTCCTGGGGAGATCGGCCCTGTCCCCCCTGAGCTGTCCCTGTGTCCCCGGGGTGTCCCTGTCCCCACATGGCCCCAAGGCTCCAGGAATGTCTCTCTGCAGTGTCCTGGGCTGGTCTTGTCCCCAGAGTTCCAGGGACATTGTTCCTGTCACCTTGAGGGTGTCATCGTGGTTCTGGGGACATTGGCCCTGTCCCCCCAGAGCTGTCCCTGTCCCTATCCCTCGGGGTGTCCCACCCCCATGGCTCCCAGGACATCATTCCCATCCCCCCCCCCGGTGTCCCTGGCCCTGTTCTCCCCTGGGACTCTCGGTCCTCAAGGCCCCAGGACCATCTGTCCCCATCCCTCTGGAGGTGTCATGTCCCCATGGTTCCCAGTTCTTTGTCCCCCTCCTCCAGGGCTGTCCCACCCCCGTGGTCCCAGGGGGCTGTCCCATCCACCCTGAGGTGTCTTCGTCACCTCCAGGGGATCCCTGTCCCCCCTCCCACCCCCCTCGGGAACACTGTCTCTGTCCCCCTGGGGGTTGTCCCTGTCCCTCTCCAGGTGCTCCCATCCCCAGCTTCTACCTCAGGGGCACAGTCCCTGTCCCCCCAGGAGTGTCCCCACAACCCTCAGGGTTCTCCTGTACCCCCAGAGTGTCCCTGGCCCCTCACGGGTTGTCCCCATCCCTGTCACCCCCTAGGTGTCCCCATCCCTGACCCTGTCCCCCCGGGCTGTCCCTGTCGCCCCCTGGGTGTCCCCATCCCTGACCCCGTCCCTGACCCCTTCCCGTCGTCCCATCTCCCTCCGCCCCCGGTGACCCCCGGGGGCCGCACTGGGGGCGTGTCCCAGAAGGAAGGCGTGGTTTTGTCTCTAAGGGGCGTGGCCCAGGAAAGAGGCGTGGCTCCGCCTTGGGGCGTGGTCAAACCCCGGGGGCAGGCTCCGCTCACCGCCCGCCGTCCCGATTCCGCGTGACGTCATTTCCGCTTCCGCCCCGCAGCGGAAGAGCCGGTGGCGCCATGGCCTCAAGGTTACTGCGGGTGAGCGCGGCCCTGCGGCTCCTGCCCGGCGCCTCCGCCCGCGCTGCGCCCGCGCGCCAGCTCGGCGTGCCCGGTGAGCGGGGACCGGGGGGAGGGCGGCGCGGGGGAGGGGGCGTGCGGGGCCGCAGAGGGGGAGCGGGCGCGCGGGGCCACAGGGGGGGAGCGGGCGCGGTGTCCGTGCCTCCCCCCCCCGTGTGACCGCGGTCCGCAGGGAGCTTGGCCAGCGATGAAGAACAGGCGACTGGGATGGAGAGGAAGGTCATGGAGGCCCTGAACAAGGGCCTGGTGAGTGCGGGGGCACCCGGGGGGGGCGGGGGGTCTTGGGGAACTCGGGGGGGTCTGAGGAGGTTTCGGAGTTCGACTGTTCGGGGGGAGGAGGGGTGTCTTGGGGGCGTTTGGGGGTCTCAGGCGGTTCTAGGGGGCTCAGGGGTGGCGAAGGAGGGTTTGGGGTGGTCTCAGGGTCCGACGAATACAGGAGGCGGGGCTCAGGGGG